TAGACTATAATATTTACTAATTTTTTCGTTTTATGCAAATTTCAACTAATAAAATAACTAGCAAATACTGATGAGAACCCGCTAGAACTATATATACTTTAAAACTGAAAAAAGTTAAAGTTAATTAAAAAATTAAGCTCTTGGAAAATTTGCGTGGTAATTAAGTATTGACAACAGTTGATGATAAGACATCCGATTCACAAACGCTTCCCTAAATCGATCTTAACGATTATGTGAATCAAATATCCGCATATTCACAGCACACAAAATAACAATTATACAGTAGAAACTGAATTCTCGCATTCTGATAATTCGTATCGAAGAACTTAAAATATATAAATTACGGAATCAATTGATAGACATGCAAAATTCAAATATTAATAAACAGGTAAATCTTCAAAGTTAAAAACTTGCATAATAGCGATTTTGAAAGTATTCAATGAATACTTAAATGTACTCAAATACTGTATCGTTGAACTAACGTATTTCTATTATGTATGAAAAATTTGAAATCATTTCGTTTACATTAAAGGAATGAAAAAGTAATCACTGAAATGCGCGCCAAATTCAAATTGAACACCGAAATAGCGCGCCCAAAACAAAGCACATATCGACCAATAAATGATAGATAATGGAGGGAAATGTGTTTTTCAGATCGAACGATCGATTAGGAAGAATGATTTCCCATGGCTGGGTGAGGTCACGTTATTTATTTTCCGTTTTCGTCCTTTCTTTACTTTCAAATTTGCACACTTTATAAGTACACGTTTCAACGTGATTTTTTTATTCGTTAACAATTTTACTGACGAAAAAACTAATTAAATAGATTAAACCAAGCTACATACTTCCAACTATGACGATTCAAATTGTAACAGCTAAAAAATGAGAAAAACGAACTGCCTGGAATGTAAAATTAAATATTAAAAGAATAGGTAGTAGCAATAACGTGTGACCTGATTATGATATGTAGTATGCATTTTGTGGGGTGGTAGGAGGAAAGTAAAAGAAGGAGCAAGCAGACACGCAAGCAGTACTCCAAGGGTAGGGAATGGACAAATGATGGACGGTGGAATGGACCACTCACGATGGACAACACATTGTTACCGCCCAAAGTACCATCGATTATACAACCATCCTCAACTCAAAACCACTCCTCTTCATCATTACGCTACAACAAGACGTTGTTCACGTTAGTATACGTTAAGTGTTAAGTAATTTCTCCACTTAATTATGCAATAAAAGATAAGAACAGTAATGCAAAAAAGTTTGTTTGCTTAATGCAAATATAGTAGTCTGATAATTCAAGCGAACTGTGTACCACCGTTGTTCTCTGCTGTTTGCCAAACATCATTTTGACTGATTGAACAAAACGTAAACTTTTATACTTGAGATGTAAAAAGACGTAAAAACAAAATCGCATCGCTATTACACGAAAAAATGTATGTTTCAAATTAACGAAAAGCGAATAAAGTAGCGACTGGATGTAAGCAAATTCATAAGGTTGGTAAAGGAAAACAATCACTTATCATGAAATTGGGACAGAAATATGGGCATGTGTTCCAACGTCACTCACTTTGTCCTGCAATCAAATAAAAGCATAATTTTACACCGTTTGTAGCAATAAGAATAAAATTATATCTATGAAGCAGATATAGGGCAGCTTAAAATATACAAAGTAATGATGACGAGTTGACAGTAACAGACAGTCTTGTTGATTTAAAAATTACAACTTTAAAAATCACAGCTTTATTCGAAGACTATTCATGTCCAAGTTTGTCGAGTCTACGATAATTTTCTCGAAATTTCATTCCTCTAAAAAACAGCTGTTTTAATTTTGAAATGCAAAAGTCAACTCATACATTTGCATTATTGTGGCATAATTCAAATATAATATAGAATTAAAAAACTAGACTAAAATGCAAGAATTTTATTTTTTGCTTTCAATTTAGAACTAAAATTTGCATACCTGTAATAGCACAGCGATGATAAAACCAGCAAATAAAAATGAAATATTAACGAGCCAATGTGGAAGTGAATTAGGCAATGCAAATCGTCGTTCTAAGAGCACTCTCAGCTGTTTGAATTTTTTTTCCGTCAGTGGCGGATATCGTACACTACAATCATTTTATATTGCTCCTTATCAAGTTACTGTTATTGATGATACCAGCAAGACAGAATTTATTTAACAAAAATTAGCAAAGTACAATAACTGATAAAGTGTTAAATTCGTTAATACTTCACTAAAAAAACAACTCCCGAACTTAAATAAGAAATCAAATCTATTATTGAAATGATTTCTTAGAGTTCAAGTTCAAAAAAGATGTCTTGTAAACTTACATATTTAAAAATTCACTAAAATACCCTCTCTTCAATAATGCTTTATGATGCGTGAATGTATCGAAACCAAATTTTCCTCGATAGTTACCCATGCCACTTTGTCCGATACCACCAAAGGGAAGAGTATCGACTGCAAAAAATATATCAACAATAATTATCATCAAATAATGATAAAATTTACAACAATTTTAAAATTACAAAACAATTATTATTTTTAGACATACCAAAGTGTAAATGAATAAAACATACTGACAAACTGAAAGGCAACATCATTTATAACTACTGAGCCACTTGATGTTTCTGAACATAATTGTTTTACTTTTCGTTCAGATCGAGTAAACAAATATGCAGCTAATGGTTTTTCTTTCGAACAAATGAACTTTAGCGATTCTTTAAAACTGCTGATCGTAACAATTGGCAATATAGGCCCGAATATCTAAACATATCTTCATAAAAAGAATTCAAGCTACAAAACTACATAAATACAAACACGATTTCTAATAAAGAGTAACAACTAAAGAAACTTAATTCGTATTCCATGAGTACATCATCTGGCGAAACAGCAATTATAACAGGTGGAAAAAATAGTTCACTGCGATTCAGTTCACCAGCCATATACAAAATTTGCCCTCGACTTCGTTCAAGCAAAGTAGACAGTCTACTGCAAGATATTTAGAAAGCATGATAAATCGAGCTTACTTATGCAAAATCAAAGCAAATTTTACAAATTTTAAAAATTGAAGTTAAAAATAAATCTAACAACCAACTCAAAATGCATTTCATTGATTATTCGACTGTAATCAGCGCTTCTCTCAACGCATGAGCCGTAAAATTCTTTTAATCGAAGAATTAATTCGTTAACTAATTGTGGTTTCAATGCTTCTTTAACAATTATATAATCTGGAGCAATGCATGTTTGTCCACAGTTTGTCCATTTTCCCCAAGCAATGCGACGAGCACTAATTTCTAAATCTGCATCCATTTCCACAATCGCTGGGCTAAGAATAATGAAGGAGAAATATTTGTATAAATTAAGACAGAAATAAAAAATGCAATCATATATGTTCTAAGTACTGACTACAGTTTGTTGCTAAAATAACTTATAGAAAAATTGCTGCTTCCACAATACCAATTAAAAAAAATACCAAAACCTTTAAAAATTTTCTGTTTACTTTACTGAATTGCAAAAAACAATACCGTGTACTGGTTATTCTGTTATAAAGAATCAAATTTCAAATGAAGAAGTTAAAAAAAAGAGATGGAAAGATTGCCATCGAATCACAGAATTCCTACCATATGTAAAATAGTAATTGAAAATCTCATTCTAAAAAGTAATATACTTTTTATAAATTAATGTACTTTTTAGATAATGATATTTTCCAGTAGAAAATTTAATGAAATTAAGAATGTGATAAGTGCAATAAACAAGAATATAATAAAATTTGTACACGAATTAACATACAAAAGTAAATCAAGAACAGCCTCCCAGGTTCATTAAATAAATCAAATTTGAACCTTTTTCCACCAAGCTCAAGTGTTACAGGTGTAAGATATTGTGCAGCTGCAGTCATGATTATTTTAGCAACAGATGGACCTCCTGTGTAAAAAATGTGATCAAATCGTTCCTTCAAAAGTTCTGTTGTCTGAGGAATACCACCATTAACAACTGCCAAAAATCTCTGCAGCTTTTTCATATTTGGTATAAAAATTTTTAGCAAAGTCTAATACCAATTTTGTCAAACATGGCTGTTTATGATTGATTTTACAAAACTAACCGAATCAAAATTTTGTGAGAAAAGATCTTGGCAAACTGCTGCAGTATGAGGAGCATATTCTGACGGTTTTATAATCACTGTATTTCCTGTAAATTTTTTATGCAAAAAAATTTAATTTACAAAGTCCTTTTCTATAAAGCCATAAAACATATAAATGAATCTCGATTACAACAAACTTCATTCCTGAAAAAGTAGCAACAAAATGTTTATACTTACTAAATTTTATTTTCTATATATATAAAAAAATTTTCAAAGAAAACCAACTTACCAGCAGCTACTGCTGCTATTAAAGGTAATAAAACTAGACATAACGGATAGTTCCAAGGAGCAATAATTAGAACCACACCGAGTGGTTCCTTAACAATACACGTGGAATCGAAACAAGATAAAAGGGTTTTCTGGACCTGAAAATTTTCTGCTTTTTTGTTTCATTCGCAACAATGTTTCATTATTTATTGCTTTTCTACTTCATTTTGCATATTTCAAGGTTACAATTTCTGCATTCATTAAATAAAATACCAAAAAACTTACATATTCAACTGAGCTCCACTTTTTCAGGTTTTCTGTCATATAATTTATCTCCATTATGGCTGTACTTAATTCCATCAGAAATGTCATCTTTGGTAACTACAAAGAACCCGTAAAAATTCAGATCAAATAAGATTAAGTATTTTGACACAATTTAGTTTAAAACAAATAGTAGCAATGATAATTCAATAAATATGTGAAGCTATGAGTTACGAACTTATCTCATATACATACATATACATGAAATTTTTAATAGACAAGAAATGAAATAATGTAATTGTATAAATTAAGGATAAAACTGGAAGAGTAGAAATAAAAACATAAAATATTCGAAGTTATTTAATTAAGTATTTTTGAAAATGAGTACTTACCCGCTTAAGATCTTTGTAAACAGCATCAGTGAGAATATCACTTTTGTCAAGTAAAAGTTTTTTCAGCGTTGAAAGCTGCTGCATGCGATGTTCTAATGTAGCAGTGATTCCTGATGCATAATAAGCTCTTTGTTCTTCTACCAACTGAAGTACAACTGATCAAAATCAAATAAAATGCATTAATAAAAATAAAATCATAAAATTAAATTTTATTATAAAAATAATAGTTATTTAGTACCTCGTGGTATGTAGTTGGTTGACTTGTTCTTGACATATCTTTTAAATTTTTATTATATACTTGGTGTATGAATAATAAACTTGACTACCTGAATAAAAATAAAATATAAATTTATAATCAAAACTGCTCGATAACGTCAATAAAAATTAATTTTTAAAATGATTAATTCGAATTTTTGAATTAAATTACCAATAATTGAAATAGAAAAATGAGGAAGTAATGGCAAAAGGGAAAGAAGCAATGCATAGATAGTATCAATAAGTGTCATTTTCAAAATAAATACACAAATTTACTGATAGTTTTTAATTGCAAATTATAAAAAGTAATTAAATAGTAAAGAAATAAAGAATTTATATAACTGAATAGTAATTAAATATTTGAAATTATGATATAAAATGTACACTAATGTTGAATTGCAATTTGTGCAACTTTTAGACTCTCTCAGTTGATAGCAAATGCACACCAATACTGACACTCATATACATACACTAATAGACAAATACGCACACACATATACACACACGCATACGCACACGCACAGAGTAAACTAACATATACGCAGGCAAACACACGTAGAGCATACTGATACACTGATAGACAGATATATATAAGCTAGGCAGTGTGATACGTTTTTAAATGCAGGCAGAAATGAATGCACAAACGTTTTACATACAGTGAAATATAGCTGTGTACAACTAGACAAAAAGTGCTCATGCAATGTTAAGAAGTGAAAAAAGTTTTTGAATTGTGTACTAATTTAGACATTATGCACCCATATTCTCATTCATGCGTAATTATGCTTCATGCACGTGCGTGTACGTGTGTACGTGTGTATGTGTATATACATATATATATATATATGTGCTTCTGTGTGTACGTGTGTATGTGTATATATATATGTGTGCTTCTGTGTGTACGTGTGTGTGTTTCTGTGTGTACGTGTGAGTGGGCATGAAACAATAAATATTCAACAATATTTGTCAAATTAGTTATGGTGTACGAAATTTTCCAACTTAGAAATGAAATGAATATTTTTTGTTTGGAAAAATATTTGCACTACATCTTTAAATTATGCATTTCACATTTGAAAGTAATAGACTTGCAGAATTTTAAATTTTTTAAAATTAATCAGCATGTTTTTTATTTTTTAATTATGCAACTAATTATTAATTAGTTTGTAATGCTCAATTCGAACAGTCTTAAACAATTACAACAAAAGCATACTTTTGCATTATTTGTTGAATACAAGCAATGAACTGACTCTTCAATAATTTTATTTTCAGTGTTTATGATATTAAGCAAATTAATTTACGCCAAAATTGCTGATGAATATTCTCCACTGCATGTTAACATTAAACATCTTGTGTTATAAATAAACTCGCCTCTTCTAACATTGTCACAATCTACATGATTTATCAGTCTATCACTACATGGAAATTCAAATTGAACAACAATAAGTGTTATTTACAAATAAATGTTATTTTCTTATTCTCAAAAGGAATTTGATTTAGACTGTGGGTGGTGATTTGTAATTTTTCAGCACATTAGAATCGAAGTATGTGTTGAAAGTGAAATCTGAAGAGAATCATGATTTTTTTAAAGTAGTACACTTGTGATGACAAATAAACAGAAACAAAACATAATTGTACATCTTGAGAAATAAGAAAAAATATTTACTCATTACAACAATTTTGGAAAATGATTGGGGAAAGTTTTAAGTTGAAAAAAAATACTGAAAAATCAAGCACGTTTTAAAGTTTTCTTTAGTAATGTGTGTACATGGTAGGTTCTGAAAATGTTGCCTGAAAATCTAAACCAGCACTCATTAATGCAAATGCGATAAGGCAAAATATGATAAGAAAGATTAAAACAGAAATAATCAAACATGCTGTTGTTGGTGAACCTTCTAGTGAACAGCAGTAACATCTGAAATAAAGACTTTTTTGTTTCCAATATTTTAAATTTAAAAACTTGAATTTGAAAAAGTGTTAGCGTAAATAACGATCACGCATTTTTGTTCTCTTAAATCTCGTTTTTTTTTTTGTTTAAATTACAATGCTCACAAAGTCTAATGGCAGTATATACATTCAACTTTATCCACTCTAATTAATGAACTAAATTTTGAAATTATTTCTTACTTTACAAATGATAAGAGAAAAAATAAAAAATGAAAGTCAAAAATGTACTCCAAAAGTTCTCTAAATATACTACTAAATTTTTCATAAAATTTGATTACTTTAATGTTAATGTGTTAATGCATTTTCAATTATAATCCATTTTCATAATAAAGTAAATTACACAAATTTTAAATGTAAAATTTTGATTTAATCTACAACAAAATTAAGAAAAAAACTTTACTCATCTTCTCGAAGACCAGCTTTGAGCATTTTTCTAGCATGTCGTTTCATGCGTTCTTTTTTTGTTATATTTTTCTTATCCGTACCATACATTGATATATCATACATTGAAACATTGGCACCAACATCGCGAACAGTCTGAAAACCTATTACTTGTCTGAAAGCTATATGAAGCTATTGGAATTCATCTCGATAAAAATATCAATACTTTAATAATTCAATTTTACCTTTTTTCAGTGTAGATGATTATTTTTCATGCTTTAATTAAATCAGATGCTTGTATTTTGTATCAAAGAAATTTTATTGCATTAAAAGAAACTAGTAGTATTTAAAAGCATGCATTCATAGAGCTTACTGTATCGCCGATTACGGAGCTGAAAAAAATCTATTATTTTTTTCATCTGATTTTCATTCATAACACTGACTTTAATATCATATTTATTTCACAGAACATTTTGAGAGAAAATATGCAGGTATGGAATACACCTGATGCAAAGTTTAATTATTGGCATTTCAGTGCTTAAAGAAATGTCATTTGCATATACTTCTCTGTTAATACTTTATTTTCCATTAATAATTCATTAACAAATATTAAAATCATGCCAAAATGAATTAGAAAATTATTATACATACTAAGGCCTCAAATTTCACAGCTAAATAAATCCAAGAAATTACAGTAACTTTTGAAAGTTTTGCAGGAATTAAAATTAATATTTCTGAGAGATATTTTGCATGAATTTAATTTGAAATTATCAAGGGAGAATAAATAACTACTGACTTCATCGTCTTACTAGACAAGCGATTCTGTTTTCTTTTTTATGGAACTCCTGAAATATTTAAGGAGTAGTCAAATACAGAAATGATATGCAAGTAAATATGGTATGGAATGAAAGTGCGCAAGAAAAATATTAATTGCTAAAAATATCTTCTGACTTTAGCAAAATTGCGCAGTTAGAAAATGATATTACTGCTGAATCGAAAGCCTTTTATAAACATTGTAGATAATTTGCATAAACTTTAATTTATTGTTTAAGTTGGCATTCTTCATTATTGAACTTAAACTACAAAATCTAAAAAAAAAAACTACAAAATTTTTTTGAAAATTAAAATAGAAACATTATCAACTGCATTCAAATGAAGTGCTATTCCCTATTATATTCATATTTTAAAAATTTTTAATGTGATTTTTGATTTGCCATTTTAAGAGTAATTTCACGGTTTTTACCTTGAGGCCATAAAAAATTACATTATTATTTAGCATTCAACTTTTTTGTGGTATGTTATTTTTCCAACACTTTGCCATAAGTTATCATTGATATTAGCGCTAATTGAAGTAACTGAAGACAAACCACACTGTCCATTTTCTCTACAAAATAATAATGCTTAAATAAACCAAAAATACTACAACCAAATAAACAGTACTGCATTCGTACAAAGCTTAATTTTGTAAATTCTGAAATTAAAATCAAAATTAATTTACGAAGAGTTATTGCAAATTATTGTGTCTCCTACAATAAAAACAGCTAAAAATGTTTCAATTGATAACATTTACTACCTAAATACTATTTTCTGACTAAATCTTTTCAGTCTCTAATTAAGAGAGGAAAACTGAAATTATAATAATAGTTTCGCATGATCTAAAAAAGGTTCAACTCATATATCAGCGCAAGTGATGATCCAATTTAAAAGCACTTTTTAAGAATAAATGAAAACAAACAAAATGAAACATACGAATTATAATTTACTATAGTACAGTTGTGTTTGTGCATTAAGCACTTTTTGCAGTGCTCACACAATGCAAAGCAGTCTTCTAAGGATGGCACATGGATAAAATATTCAAAACTGATCCATTTTGGTTGTATTATTCTGAAAAAAATCATAGAACAAACATTTAAACAATAATTGAATTTAATATTAAATTGTGTTAAAAAGTTTCTACTATACGTCTATCTCTATACTTATAAAATGCATTTTTGTATTGCCAACTTTCATATTAAATTAACATTCAAGATTGTCTACGAATAGCGATGCTGTACAATTGATGACAACTTTACATTTCTCACAACTGTAATCTTGAGAAATTATGTTGTTTTCTGCTTTTACATGTAGAACACATAAAGAATAGTAAGAAAATACTTTACAAATAAATTTAGGTGAAAAATAAAAGTAACCTAAAACAACTGTGTGTACGAGAGTTATTACGTTTATGTAGATTTATGAAATTTTGCGCAATGTATTGTTTTATATTACTGTTTTTCTCTTTAAAATCAATGGACGGATTAAACCGATAACGATCAATTCTGATCGGGCTGATCTGAAAATAATTTTTACATATTATTCAATACAGCGTCGAATGATGTGATTACTCAACATTATTAAAGTAGTAATAATGACAGGAACTTCAATAATCTCAAAGTTCCTAGTTTCTGACCATAATAGTTTAGCAACACGAAAGCAATATAAGAAGCTTCACAACAAAATGACCAACAGAAGAGATATCCAGATTTGTGAATAAGGAAAGCACGGGATGCTCGATTTTATTAATTGTTGTTTTATATCCAGAATATTCGATATTTCTCTGCGGTTGCTCAAGAATCCTTCTTACAGCGTCTTCTACAGGTTTTTTTGAACCTGCATACAATGTGACGTCTGAAAATTCAAGTTAAAACTAATTTTTTTTTTCTAAGAACTCGAAAGTCCAAGCTATAGAAGAAAACAAAAAATAACTCCCATACGTCAACCTAATTCTTACTTCTTCTTGATTACTCTTTTTAAATGAACACTTCGGTAGAAAAAATTACAACACCAACTCTTTTTATCATTTTCTGAATATGAAGCGAAATCAGGTGCTAAACTTTCTTCTTTTAATTCCATGTTGTGGGTTTTTGCTTGCTTTTTATCTTCGTGTTTATCAAACCATTTGGAAGGCACGATATGAGATTCAATGTCATGGTTAATAAGTGTTTGGAAACCATCTAAAAAATCTACTCATTATTATAATTTAATTATCAAAAATTTTTAGCTAAATTTCAAGATATATATTTAATTAAGGTATCAATTTCAATAGACATTATTTAAATTTTGAAGGAGTTTACGAGATAAATTTTAGACAAATGTATGAATAGATAGATCACTTACTTAAATGTTCAAAGTCATAATAGAGCAATTTTTTTGTAGCTTTAAAACTGAATGTAAGTGATTAAAACTAAATTTTTAAAAAATCTTGCAGAAATATATTGCCTTCAGGAATGGACTGCAGTGTAGCTTCTTTGTTTCCTTCACTGTTTGATGATTTGTTTCTAAACTTTTCTGCACACCTATTTTCCATATAAATTGCTGCTTTATCGTCAATGAACAATTCAGGCAAATCAAAACGACTTTCTGATGAGATGATGCACTCCTAAGTGTTTGAAATTTCATTGCAACGACCATATTTATGAAACCTTTACGAGTTTACAGATAAATTCTTTTAAAACGCTCTTAATTTAAATTTAAACTTAATGCATGCATACTTACTTCTTCTTTAGAGTAATAAATAGCTGCTTTACACACTATATTGTCTTGCAGTAATGAAATGCTACAAATTTTCTGACACTGCATTTGTGACATTCTTTTATATAATTTATCAACAGCACCAAGTAGTACTTTTCCGGGGAATTCTTCAAAACATGTTTTGTGAAGTAGCGTGCTTTGTACTCTTACTCGCTCTGTAAAAGCTATATCAGAAATCTACCACAAAGAATTCTTTAAATATTGACAGTTATCTTCTAAAATCATATTCAAGTAAGCTCACAATTCATAAGTACGGAATAAAACTAAAATGATATTGTTTTATATTTCATTCACCAGTACTTGACATGAATAAAATACGCGAGCATAATATTTACTGAGTGATATTTATAAGTTACAAAATTTTACCAAGTACTATCATGTGTAAGCACATAAATCAAATTTGCTTTTTAAATTGTCAGAAGAAAACAGATAAACTAATTTATAAATTAGCTTTAAAATCAGTAACGGATTTCAATGATTTACGTCGACATATCCTGCGAAAATATTTTGTAGTTCCATCAGTAAATTCATTCCTTTCCTCTTCTCCAGTTATAAGTAAACATAAATTTCTCCCAGGAATATATATGACCGATCTATATAATACAAACTTTGAATAATTTTTTTTTATCAAAAGCAAAACTTATGATTAGGTTTAAAAAACATCTATATATGATACAAATACAAATTGAAACTAAAATTTCGTGTGGTAGTGTTGCAAAAGTTACCAAAAATCATGAAAAAATTGATACTTGAAACTTACGAGCATTGATCCAAACTTACTCCAAGACATTCTTGTCTGCAGTTGTTTATGTCAGTTATTAACGAAACTCGCAAAGTACCAATAAACGAACGATTTGCAGGCTCTAAGTGACAAATTCGATGCGTTGGTCTTACATATGTAATGATGTATGCCCAGAATATTAATATCAGCATTTAGTTAAACATGCAAAAGTAATTACTACAATATAACCAGTAAAATAACAAGATTCTCATTACGAATATTACTGAAAACTATTATCTCTTGCAATTGTGCACACGGATTAAAATATAGTTAACATATTCTCACTACACACAAATAATTACGGCAACTAAAAACTAGATTTGCACAGTTGCAAAATTTGTGGCGTCAGCATTGTATTTCCAAAAAAGCACGTTCATATCTGAATGTATTTCTGGAAATTTCATCCAAAGATGTCAAATTCATAAACTATTCAACAAGGATTTGTATTCCATGAAGATAAATATTTTACGGAAGCGCTTACATGTTCACTTTCCCCAACAGTAAAAAACTTTAACAGTAGTATCATAATGATACAATGTGTAGCAATATAAGTATGAATGCAGATCTTGTAGTTTCTTATCCCCAATCAACTTTTATTCCTTCAAAATACTTTTTTAAAACTAGTCGTAACAAACAGTTTCAAAACAACAAGTTAGAAGTTACAAAGAATAAATGAGCAAATCCAGAAAAATAATCAGCTGAATTTACTCTGTCTGCATAACAACTCCAAGTAACATAAAGTGAAAAAATAACGAAATAACAATTAGTAAATTTGTAGCTGTTCAAAACATAAAGCAAGTGGACAAAACAAGTGATAAATCATCAGAAAATAAGCAAATCATCCATTCTGTTGTCACATTAATTGACGATGTTCATGGAAAGTAGCGTCAGAAGTGGTGCAATATTACCGGTTGCGGCCATTTCATTATGAAACTTCCGACGATTGACTAGAAATTAATGCATAATGGTTTTTGAAATATGTGAACTGTGAACTGAAGAATAAAAGGTATTTATTGAAGAACAACAGAGTCAATATATTTATAAAAGACTTACATTTACGTACATTCAATAACTTTAAAAAAGAGTGGCAACATATAGAAAACGACTACGTACGGTTCATAAAAAAATGAACAATGAAGTACTGACATGGCCGGTTATGGAGATGGCTTCTCAAAATCTGTGTCTGCATCATAATTATTTGCGCAAAAAAGTGTCGACGCTGAAGTGGACTGAGTAAGCGGAATATATTTAAAAAGGTAGCTGTGAAATTTTCTAATCGTTCACATCCTCGTCGGTGGTAGACCTAGAATTTTATATTTTGATTTAAAACACGATTAGATTCAACTTTGGTGAGATTTTTTTTCTATCAATGTGTCTTATACAATAATTATAATATTCTATCTTCACACTATAAGAAATCAAGCCAAATTAGAGAAAAACTGAGTTTGTAAATTGCTTTGCATCATAAAATATGCATAATTTGTTGACTTATTGCGCTGGGAAAACAAGAAAAAACAACAACAGATGATCCAGTAATAGCTGAAAATCTTTTGCACATCCGATCAATTTTGTTGTTTTAAATGCAGACCGCTTTTATAGCATGAAATATTGTCGCAGCTTCTTTCCATGCACTATGATTTAGTCGGAAGTAAAATGCTATACGCATTAATTTTGATTCCATTAACAGTAAGCACGCAAAGTTATCAAGTGTCCAAGATTTAGGTGCACCTGAAATATCACAGTGATAAGCGCCAAAGATAGAATGCATACAGCTTTTGCAAAACTATAAGCGCATATTTCTTGAGTCTTGGAAACTTGAAAGAATAAAAGGAATTTTTTTACGATTACAAAAAAAAAAAAACCATTACGAACTTGTGATTTCTTCCATTAAATTGAAAAGTGCAATATAGCACCAGCTGAACTCCAAATTTAATTCTCGTAATGACAACAGACAATAAATTTTTGACGATAAAGGCTGAATAATCCGATTAGATTCAGCTTTAGTGAGATTCTTTTCTGACAACGTGTTCCAATCAATTAATTCTAAATTTTATTCACATTTCTTATCAAAAAGTTACACTTTGCAGCTTTGCAAATGATTTCTTCCAATACCAAAGAAACTTTCCTTCATGAGCTAAATAAAAAAAAGGCTGATTCTCAACTAATAATTCCCTTGAAACTTAAACAAATAATAATTAGCTGCCGTTTTACTGATTAAATAATGTACAGCAAAAAATTTATTTACTGAAGTTAAGGAACTCAATATTAGCGCTTTCTCATCATGCTTAATGTTTATTACAGACCTACAAGTTTTTTTTTCACTGCGTAATTCCAGAAAGAATCATAAGATCCTCAGTAATATAATTACACATATGTTCAAATTTCTATATTCAAAATTTACAGAAACCTTTGCCAGAAATGCATTTAGTAGGGCCAAATAAGATCATAAATAGTCGTCCTTTGTCTTCCATTGTTTTTTGCGTATGAAGAAGCATCGACATCCACAAACCATAAGCTGGTGTTAATTCTCTATTCTGATCAAGAAAGAAGCCATGAAAGCGTTTCCGTATCTGAAATATTTGTAGCTTAAAGATGCCTTAAAAAAAGAAAATGCCTAATCACTATAAATTATTTAACAAAATTGAACATAAATTCTTAATTCTTTCTTCCATCAAAAAACTTGATCATACCCATTAGTGATCAGAAAAAGACATACTTCCATTTCAAGATCACATTTTTCGCCAGCTTTTGCAGATATGGTTTCGACAAGCAGTGGTTCCGTTTCGCTGAATGCTATCACGGAATTCATGAATTCAGTACACACTACTGGATCCCAATTTCTACAAAACTGAAAATAGAAAAAATATTGAGACATATTTGCGATTATTTTTGAATATATGAAAAGATTTAAATGAAAACCTAAAACATACCGAATAAATTTGTCTGATTAATAAAAAAATAACATGAAATCCTTACGCCTGAAAAGCATCGTCCCCAAGTTTTATAATCTTTAACTGAGCTGTTCTGAAAATTAAGATATTATTCCTGTAAAGAAACCGAACTATGTGTGATCAGCTTACAAGCTTCTGTAAGCCAAAAATGGTGTTGATATTATGGAATGATAAAGTTCAACCTTGAGATAAAAAGAAATCATGACACTTGATTTCTGACTTGCAGGGGAACAAATCGTGCACATATTTAACAATTTTCCTGCAGAATTAATAATTATTTTTTGAATTAAAAAGTTTGAAAACGCTACATTAGTCTGATTATATTGTGTATAAATTTTTAGAACTCATCACTTTTTTCTCCATTTATGTTTTATTTCTTTACATATGAAGACTGATAAACAAAAAATTTCAAAACTCAAAATCAAAATAGGAAACCAAAAATAAACTGACCACCTACATATATATACTTTTTAAAATTTGCCTTTCTCCACATTCCGAAAACTTGTCGACTATATCAGGAATACGGAAAAAACACGAAAAACAAACCCCAAGCATAGCTTTTAGTCACCTCCTTGTGTAGTTCAGAACTGTCTTGTGACACTTGATATTGAAATCTTTTTGCTGCATTATTTGAAAGAACGTACTCACGGACTGAGACGTTGAGTGCATGGCACGTCAATGAAAAATTCTTCATTTCACCAACTAAAATTGAAAACATGGCATTACCATCCACAAAAAAATTCATCTAAAAGGTATTTATCCAAAAGTATATCATGCTGCTTAAGGAACTTGACAAAAAACACTGTTTCGTAAGACTGATATATGTCTCAAAACAATTAATTCTGTTTGATCTTCAAAAAATATCACTTGACAAATATTTGAATAAAATCTGGAGAGTATCATCAGACATAGCAAATGAACTACCATCCATATTCTCCAGTATATTCACAACCTTAAAAACACCATGAGGAGGTTTAGTTTTTATTTCAAAAATGGATCACACCCTGATATACCCATTTAAACATGAGAACTTGTAAAAAATTAGTCTACTTAGATGAATATATAGCGACAAAACTTGTCAATTTCATTTTCCAAGTCTAAAGCCATAAAATTGCATTAATCCTTGGTTCAGTGTTGACAAAAAATACTTTTAGATTTAAAAAATTTACTACGCAATCTTCTCTTTGATACATGTTACGTGTTACGTTACTTGTTATATCATTTATAAGGTTGATTCTAATCTGGCCACTTCTTTTTTGATTCCATAAATACTAAAACCGGCTTATAGTAAGCTAGTTCTGGAAAAACAATACTTATTCGTCTGTTTTTAAAGTGAGTTCGGGTTGATAGCATTTTAAGAGTAATCAACTTTCCCTTACCAATTTCAGTAACAGATTTTAATCAATTAATACATTTACTTACCACTTTCCAAAAGTAAATTAAAACCAAATTACACACGATTCAGCTTACGTTCAAGAATTCACTACGTTGAATGGCAGTTCCTTCAGGATTTTCTTGAACTTTCAACTTCAATATAACTTTATTATACTAATACTAACTAGTCAGACTCTGTTGTGACTTGCTGCGTGACTAGAAAGAAAGATGTTTATGAAAAATTGTAAGCGAAATTTTGTTGCAATGGACACGGTCGCGCTAATTTTTTGCTCCGTAAACCGTTCAAGAAACAAACAAGTACAATAGTCGAATACGTGCAAATTAAATTAAATACGAGATCAAAATGTATCAATCACAAGCTCATTACGACAGTGGTCACATGTTAAAAATACATGATACATATTAAATCTCAATTAAATTATTCATAAAATATTGATTGTGTACTACTGCAGTATGTGATTATCACGTCTGAGATTAAATTTAAGGAGTAAATCAGTTGATGAAGTGAAGAACTTTCGTTAACAATTTGCATTTCGAAATATATACCAACCACGCAATGAATATCGTGATAGCAAGATGACTTTGGTATGCGTTACGCAGAGACTGAGTATGCATAACCAAATCGAACACAGCCTTAAAGACTGTTTCGCAATAAGTTACTTACTGTCTGGCTGCAAAGATTGAGGCAGTTTAATCACGATCAATCAATATTTTACATTTAGAAAGACAATCGCTCGTGTCCGACAAATAGCTTTTTGGCATCACGTCATTTGCGATATACACACTACATTTGTAGGCTCTTTCATCGTGGTTACATTGCGACACTTTAGTAAGCATTAGAGTTTCTTACGTACATTTCCCTCAAGTAACGCACCCTTAGCAATCGATGATATGCTGATTGCTTTAATTTAATTATTATTATCGCTGTGTGCGATAGTAATTAATAATAGCTAAAGTAATGCTAATTTGAACTTATTTCAAGTCTATGCTTATATAAACTTATTTTAAGCTAATTAGATTAATGACTTGTAATACTAACAAAATAGAATGATTTTAGCAAACCCTGTATGTGCTGTAATTTTTTCTGACATATGATTTATTGACTGTTTATTCTCGATATTGTCTTAAATAATACTGCAAATCTTTGGGAAGTGAGAAATTATTACAAACATAAAAGTGACCAAGTTTTAGTATCACAACTCTATAATTATTCAGATTCTTTTCTGCAACCACTCTTTCCCATAAACTTAGTAGACCATTTAAGTTGCTCGCTTTTCCTAAAAATTTTTAACAGTCAAAGGAATTACTGGTACGAAGGTTAGATTACAGTAGCAAATTACCGTGAATTTCTATCAGACTTCCATATATGCGTGCTTTTAATTCATCGTTTAAATTGAACAGTTCATGAACATCTAGCAGAGATAGCAAAATACCAGGCTAGAAAAGGAATTCAAATATTTCATATGAATCTAACACAATTTATTTTATAGAAAATTTATAATTTATTTCAAGCTCCATATTAATATTTGATGATAGAGTACTCAGAATACGAAATCATTATTCAAGGTTCCTTCTTCAAATTCTAATTATTTTAATATTCTTTTTTTGTTTTCTTTTTTTATTCTCATGCAATAAAAATCAGTATAAATAAGATCGCAAGTCTCAAAAGTAAGCTCAAACATTTCACTTACTTCTTTATTCTTATTTGCAATAGTACAAATGAATCCAATGTCATCTACACATAACTTATATTTCTCATCCTTAAAATAGAACAAAATGAAATATACAAAATGAAATAAATATCTTCATTTCTTTCTTCTGAATGAAAATATAAACAGAAAATTGATAGAAAATTTAGAAAAAAATGCAAAAAGAAAAAAGTACCCGTAAAAAATCAACAAATTGTATATGAAATCCTTCCGTGAGAAGCACGCAACCTCTTATGCAAATTTGTTGCAAACGACTTTTTAAATTACCATTAATCACTGATAATGCTTAAATATAAATTAACTTCTTATAACATAATTTAGGAGCATACTTGTAAGATAGGAAACATCGATAAAATTGACAACTTTCTTTTGTACTAATGAGATTATTTCGGATTTTGTGAAAACCTCGTATTGTAGTAAGTATATTTTTTGGTTTTTAATATGTAGGTTTGTTAAAAACTTTGGTTTGTACACTTTACATAAATCAAAATATAGAATTCAAAATTTGACATCAAATTTTCCACAAAAAACACTTGCATATCATTACTAGTAATATTAAAAATGCATATATCTTCAGAACTTTCAATAAAAACAACTGAAACTTGAAAATGAAATGAATTCTTTGGAACAACCTCTTTGATACAATAATTCGTTGTGCTGCCTGAATGCTGCCAAGAGAATCAAATATGCTACACCACACAACGAACCATGCTTACCACCACAATGGGAAAAGTAATCCAGCTCTTCGATAGCTTTTTCAATCAAACCTCTGAAGTATATCTTTTCGATCTATTCCAAATTCAGTGCAAAACAGTTATTAAGCTAAGAATACATTTTCAGAAAAGAAATCACCAACATTATTTATGGACAACCTTAAGCAAACAAAATTTTACAAAATATAAACCGTAAAAATATTTAAAAAATTACATTTAATGCAAATTTTCTGATATGAAATTGTTATCTCAAATAAAGTGATAAAAGTTGAACAACTTTTAGTTAATCATAAACGAAACGAAAGAGAACTCGTTCGTTGACTAATTTTGCGCTTTGTATTATTTAAAACAGTTTGAAAGTTTTATTTAATCTCAGATTCTGCTTTGAAAGCGAGCTTAAGAAAGTTATAATGAAAATTAGCATAGGAATGAAAGTATTAAAATTATTAAAAATAAAATAATAATAAAATAGCAGTAATAATGACGATAAGAGATGCGACATATCATTAGTATTTAACACGCAAGTTTGGCATAAAAATTCATTTGATCTTCTGAGCTCGCTCGAATCGGTTGGCACAGGATTTGATCTTAGCTCAAGAAAGTAGAAGGTTTATTAATTGTCTATCTTTTTCCAAATTACAAAATTACAGTTAGAATTGGTACAAATATGTGTTCATCGCAAACAATGAAGTATGACAAACTGTCAAGTCCAGCACAACAAGTGCTAAAAATGGAAAGAAAACGAAAAGTATGGAAGTTTTTAGAAAAGCACATAACGGTAATTCACTATTTTAATGTTAACAACAATACTACCTACACATAATAAGCAAATTGTTGAATAAATTTTTTTATTTAAATAATAAGTCCAAGCAGTCAGAAATTAAGACATATACAAGTGTAAAACGGATATACACTCTTCTAGAATTGAATTAAAAATATCACTTTATGAAAAGCAAAAACAAACCTTAAAACTTTTAGTCAATCATTTATCTACAAAAGTAATTATTAATCAAGAATTTGAGGTATGATAAATGCCTATAATGATATATAACTGATTAAAATGCTATAAAAGTTTAGAAACTCTTATCAGCTCCAGAAAATAACATGAATTCCAAGTTAACATTATCGGAGTTACGTGAGGTATGCTTACGCTGCCGTGAGCAATTCAAGTTAGAAAACTCATTGCTCGAAATTAAACCACCAATATATATTGTCGGTGATATTCATGGACAATTTAAGGTTATTCTGAAGCACTTTGGTGAAGACTAGATTTCAATAAAAATGAAACAGACAAGAGTATTATGTTTTGAAATTCTGACTTTGAAAAGATTAATTATACTTTTCAGGTATACCATACAAAGGCAGAGAGTAAATAATGCTAAAATTATACAGCACAATTTAATACTGTAAAGTAGTAATAAACTTTTTCTAGGATTTGGTGAAAATTATTTCGAAGATAGGCGTGCCACCACATAAACGTTACTTATTTCTAGGCGATTATGTGGATAGAGGCCATTGGAGTCTTGAAACAATTTCACTACTGATGGCCTATAAGGTACTTCATTCAAATTTGGTTTAATTGTTAAGGCAAATTAGAATAAATAGAGTACGTGAAGATTTAAATGCGAAAATTACTAACATATCACTATTGAAAAAATATGTGTAACACACAGATCCGATATCCACAAGAAGTGTACATGTTACGTGGTAATCATGAAACACGCGCTGTGAATCGCATATATGGATTTTTTGATGAATGCATTAGACGATTTCCTAAAGAAAATGAAGGAACACAACTTTGGACATTATATCAGCATGTTCTCATTTACTAATAATAATTATAAAAATGAAGTAACAGGAGAATGAGACTTATCATTATTTTAATAATCAAATTTTTGAATATTCTACGTCTAAAATACCAGCACAATTGTTCTTGAATATCAACTGTAGTTGAAAAGTGTCAGAGATAAATAAAAATGCTAATTGCATTTAAAATGCTGGAATATAGACATGTTATGTGGTAATATTATAGACATTTAACTGCATGCCATTTGCTGCTGTAGTTGGAAGAAAAATCTTTGCAACACATGGAGGGATTTCAGAAGATCTTGTTAATTGGAATCAGTTTAAAAGGATTTGTACCCCAACTGATGTCACTGATGTTGGATTTCTTACGGATCTTATCTGGGCTGATCCAGGTGATTTTGTTGGAGATTATACTCAAAGCCCACGAGGTGTTTCCCAGGTATTATTAATCAATTTTTTCGACAAAATATGTAGTTATTGTTCTCAAATAAGCTAAATTTTTGATATGTCTGATAAGCTAATAACATTATTAACTGAACTACATATTTCTACTGGTACCTAAAATCCATGATTTTCTAGCTTTTTGGAAAACGAGCAACAGAAAAATTCCTTCAAAGATTAGATGTCGAAATTATAATTAGAGGTCATCAGGTAAATTTCAACGTATCACAATCCACAGTTATTTTCATAATATTTCATAAAATAGTTGTCAGTGAAGACTTATGAATTGTAGTTTCAAAAAAAGTTTAACAAGTAATATGCCAACAAAGGTAAGTAATAATAAAAGGTGAAAAGCGAAGATCATTAAAATCAGATAAAAATACATAAATAAAGACAAGTACTGAAAAAAATTTTTAAAGTCAAAACAATACGGTATCAGTTCCAGCATTAGTTTTTACGTTTATCAATCTCTCATCCCGCCAAAAAAATATCTAGACAAGAAAATAATTAAAAACGGATTAAAAATTGCAGATATTTTCAGCTCCTAATGTCACACTGAATAAAAAAATATTTGTGTTCATATATGTGCAAAATTGAGTCGACATACACATTATGACACTGAATTAGCCATCGCCATTAATCTAGGTTATTTATATTAAATTAGAGGCTTTATTAACTAGTCTTTTCTTCCCAGGTGCCCCTAGAAGGATACGAATTTACACATGATAAAAAATGCCTCACGTTATTCTCTGCTCCATGTTACTGCGATGGAATAGAAAATAAGGCAGCAATACTACATGTTGACGAATTTTTGTATTGCACTCTACATCAATTTCGGTTTCTAAAATTAATTATAAATTCTAAATTAGTTTAAAATATAGTTTAAAATAGATACATGCAGAAAGTAATAGTTATTTACAATAAACAAGTTTTATAAAGTAATTTTTTAATTATGCATGAGTGCAGTGATTTTCTGATACCAAATCTGCATAATTTAATGGAAGCATTCGCAAGTGCAAAACTTGTATTATAAGTTACAATAGATACTGATTAGATGATCAGAAATTAAACTTCTAAAAATTGTGGAGCTTTCTTGGAAAAAGTAAATGACTAAGAAAAAAATCTTATAATAAAAAAAAAGCAAACAACAAAGTATGGATGACAGGAAACAGAATAAGGACAAGAAGACGAATGGAAAATGCAAGGAATCAACAGTGAAAATACCCAAGGATGATGACCAGCAAAAACGGCAAGCAATGAAACAAAAATTGATAGAATCTAAGATCAAAAAAGAAATTCATTCAACAAAAATGCAGACCCAAAAAAGTTTAGCAGACAAGGCAGTAAACTCTGAAGAACAAGAAAATCTAGCAGTTACACAAAGAAGTGAATCCCCAATATAACACGACTGAAAACAAGATTATGAATCTAATTTTCATGAATCACATTGTTCAAAAAACAATAATGATAACTGCCCCTTCATATTTCTAAAATAAACAAAAATTTTACCGTTTACTGTATTTCAATAACCATGACATTCAATATTTTCTTAGGTTCATTTCCATTTTTTTTAAATTTGATGAAACTCACTTGTTTAGCAAATGTTGAATAAATATTTTAAGAGCTCCATTTTTCACTTTGCAAAACTTCAAGTCAATCAAACAGCAGTAAAATTGTCGAGCTATTTCATATGCATTATCATCTATATCACTGAAAATCCGACCTATAGCTCCTTCAATGTGATCATCCGAAATCGAAGCATCTCCCGCTGCAATATTATTGAAAACGGAATATCGTTGGAAATAACTGCTTAATCATTTGTAAAACAACAAAGAATAAATATTTCAATTTCTAAGAAGAACAGAGTAATGAATAATAGTTGAATTTAATGCCATTAATGCAAAAATAATTACGGTAAATTATTTACACAAATTAATCTAAGCAAAAAATAACCGAATATAGAAGTCAAATCACATGATGTACGCGACATTTCTAAAACTTTTTTCCCTTCATTCCATCCAAGATGAACTGTTACAATTGACGCCATTTTGACAACCATATAGTCTAATACATGTTCTTTCATTCTGCTGAAAAATCCAGCAAAAAAGTTAGAACATATTGCTATTCTCCAGCACTTCTAGAAACTTACAGATCACTAAATCGCTTAACAGCTTCTTGTGTTTCAGATTCTTTGAATGAGTGGCTTCCTTTAGTAATTTCGTTAAACGCATCCCTTACTGCAGGCTGAAATTTAACTACAAATGATGGAATGATCTGAAAGCAACACTATTACACATTTTTTATTCACAAATTAAGTTTCCCAAGGTTTCAACAAATCAATTCACGTACTAATAAAAATTAATTGAAAAACACTAGTATAGTACAATGTATATTGTGTAATAATGCTTAGGTAAATCACATACTTCACTACAAATATTTGTAAGTTTGAACTAAAGCAATTTTAATGACTCACATCAATCTTCCATTTTGGATGCCTCCATGAAACCTTGGTTCGTTTTAACTGCTGAACAGAACTTCTCTGTTTTCCAGCTGAATGCAATACAGAACTGGAAATTGGGCTAGTCATAACACCAATGGAGAAATTGGCACACCAATGGAGGAATTGAGAATTCGTAAGTTCAAAGAAAACAGACGGTCGAAAGTATCGTCTCATCATAACAGTAGCTTGCTTAAATGTTATCATAATTTCACATACACCGTCTCAGTAACAGCGATTTCCCTGAGATCTATCTGATATCTCAAATTATTAAGAAGCCTTCGGCTATCGAGTCATAAGTCGAATATCATCAAAATCATCCTTGACAGACAAACCATACTTCCTATCAATATTATATATTTGAAAAATAAAAACAGAAACGACTATAGGCTGTCGTAAATCTATAAAGCATAATCAGAGCAAAGAAACTGATTTACGAGAAGGCAACAAATCTTTTATTTCCAGCTATAACAATAAAAAACAAAAAGATATAGCAATAAATAATCACTATGTAGTTCAACACTGTCTCATAAAATTTTGTTTTTTATATTCTACACATATATAGCATAAAACTTAGTAACGTCTTACTAAAACGGCAAAAACAAACTATATTTTCATCATCATCAATATTTCATTTTTGTTCTTTTGATTTCAACAGCAACGAATCTAGTTCTGGACTCAGTGGTATGCCAATACTTCTCAACCTTTCTTCAATTAAGTTGACCAGTGCTATATTTTTTCGTTTACCTGCAAGTCCGAAAAAATCATAAATGGCAAGTTTACAAATGATTGATCCATGTTATTTCGAATGTGACTGCAAACAAAAAACTAAATAATAAAATGAACAACGGAATGGATACTGTAAAAATTGATTAGTTTGGTTACACCACTTTCCAAATCACGTAATTCTAACTTCCCTTCAGCACTACAAAACTCGAATAAATCGAGAATAATCTCCACCTAAAACAAGACCATTATGAATAATCATAATGAATACATACACATTTATAGCTGCCAAAATACAACGCAATATATTTAAAATTAAAAAGTACTCGATTTAATTCAATTTCTCTGTCGATGTAATAGCTGAGTTTTGGTCCGGAGAGTCGGAAGCCACCGCTCTAAAACATGAAGTATTAGAACTAGAGACTGAATAAAATCATATCAAAGTTACAGAGCCATGAAGAATTTATAATAAAACAATAGGAAGAGAAGATTTCTGGTAAACTCAAAATTATTCAGCAAAAGCCTATACTTGTATCAGTCGAAGTGCTTGATCTCTTTTATAGTGTTCAAGCAAGGCTACACAAAAATCAGCTAGTGATGATTCTCTGCCATGATGACTACGGATCAGATCCAGAACTAAAAATAGCTACACTGAAAACCAAAACTTCGCAACCAAATACCATAAGAATGCCATTATTTACTTCATAATTTATTCTTGCATTTACTGACATGGATTACCTTCAGAAATTACTGTTGTGTCGTCTTTATCAATTGCTGCACCCATCAAATCAAACTGACCAAAGACTGAATTTTTTTGAACAGTAATTGCTTTTGCAAGTTCGAAGGCATGACTTAAACTGCCTCTACAAAAAATTAGTACCTTGAAAAAACTTATCGCAACCATAAGTGAGTTTCAAAAACTTTTGAATACGAAAAATACAGTGAGAATGAATCAAAATATAGTCGCATACGTAAAAAATAAAAAAAGCAACTTACTTTTCAATTGACTTGTAGAATGCACTCACTCTTGTGTTATAAACGAGCTGTTGTTTAACTTCAGGATGGAGGTCAAGTATTTTGCTCATTTCACTCAAAAAACTCATCCGTTCAACTGATGCATCTGATGAGTCATACTGAAACAAATCAAAAATGTAGAACAAAATAATCCAAAGAATGAAAATCAAACATTAAAGGTGAGACGAAAAATCAAATTATTCATTGAAGTTGAAAACGGTTACTAGTTCAGAAAACTAGATAAGATTATTTTTTAGCAACTTCAATTTCAATCAAATGCGAATCTTACAACGGTGAGCACATGGTAAGCAAAATCCTTATGGATTTTTTTGAGTTTTAATAAGACAGATTTAAACTGATCATTCATTCGAGCAAAATATAATTTCTCCGCAAACGACAACAGCAGAGATATAGGAACATATTCTGATCTGAAAATTAACAAAAGTACATAAATTCCTATTGACATTTCGTCAAGATCCCAAAAGTACAATTAATAAAACTCAAGAAATTACCCAGAGATCCAAATTTTCCACGCCTCTTCTAAATTATCTACTTCAAGTGCACGTCGAAGTTCTTTACCAATGTGCTTTTCACTTTCTGTTCGCACCTTTTCCATATCCACTTTCTTTTCATCCTTATTCAACACAGCCTTCAAATAAATTAGAATATAAAATGTGTAATATAAGAAAACTGAAATTAAAAAATCTGAAACCAGCACTAATGTCTCCGAAACTTGGAAGAGCTACATAATGAATGACGACACGACTTCAAAAAATTATTCAGAAAAATAAGTTTATTATTCTAAAAAAAAATATTCTGCTACATCTACAATAAAAGTGCAATTGCCTGATCAGAGAATATACATTCTTTCTCTGAACTAAGTCCACTTGATCGCTTTTTTTGACACTGATGGTGTCCACTAAAACTCATAATATATACAGTTGAATAATTATTGAAATGAAACTTTTGACTTAATGAATTTAACAATAATTTTAATTGTAGAAATAAAAGCATCATACATTGCAGCATGATTCCATAGAAAAAACTGAATCATTCAAGTACTTTACTTTTTTCGATAGCAACGCTACAAATGGCTTCTTCGGCTGTTCATTATTTCGATCCAAAGTATTCAGAAGATCGTTCTTATCATTTTCTTCGAGAGCAATCCGTTTATCATTAGACCATAATTCACACATGATTTTAGTTTTTTTCAACTCACCAGCAATAATAGCGGACTTAATTACTTGCATTCCTCTCCTGTACTGCTTCTTATTAGCTGCATCAGATACTGAAAGTTATTAATCTTCTTTACTTTACAAAATTTACAACAAATTACTTCAGAAAGAAAAGAGCAAAAATTGCGAGGAAATAAAATGAGTAAAATCCACTCACGAGGAAACAATAGCCGTAAAGAGGAGCACATGGGCACGAGGCCTTTATTGTATGCTGATGCATTAAGAATATGATTTTTCAACTCTTGATATGGATAAGCTCTTCCCGCTGAAGCATTCTTCAGAGCCCTTCAAATAAAAAAGGCTCCAAACTGTCTTTAACTTATTTAACAATTTTTTCTAACTAATGTTGTAAGCAGTAATATAACTTACCCATATACAAGCTCCTGAAGCAATTTTAATTGCTGTGATCTCAACAAATGAGTTATAATGGAATCAGAAAGAAAACTCTGAAGATCACTATTAGTTTCCAATTTGCTCATCAACTGCGGTAATACATTCAAATCTTAAATATTAAGTTTATAAAATGAATATGACTTAATCTGAGGTAGACAGTTCTAACAAAACACTTATATCCAATGTCATTAAAA